GGTGAGGCAACCTCCTTATCTAGAATCTTTATGAATATCCTGCATCTGTACACCACCAAAGCAAACATCTCTTTTGATCTTGGTAAACCTAAGCAGTACGCAGAGTATTATCTCCCCCTTTCACAAATGAGGAAACAGGGGAAGTGGCTTGCTTGGGATCACAGTGAACTAGGCTGGCATCAGCACTAAACTCAGATCCCCTGGCTTTCCACCAAGCACTGTGGACACGCAAGGCCCAGACGGTTCCAGATGCAGTCATCATAGAGGAAAAAAAACATGAACAGGCTGGGGTCTCAGGACACCCAAAGATCCATTGTCTTGCATTCTGCCTGGACGTCCCTTCCTTTTTCTGTGACTCAGCTTAGAATGGCAAAACAGAACCCTGAACATTGAGAAGGTACTCCCCCAATAAATGTTGTTGATGTGTAGTCTTCTGAGACAAAGCAATATTTTATTTTTTAAAAGATTTTATTGGGGAATTGGGGGAGGAAACCAGTATTGAGGAATCGGGGAAGGGGAATGGACAAGTTGCTGTCCTTTTGTTCTTCAGTCTAGTTGTGGAGGACGTCATTTCACTTGCCCATGTTGGTATTATCATTGCACTCTTCCTGGGTGAGGCAGTCGCTCGCCAGCCATTGGATGGCCGCTCACGGGGGCTCTCAGCCGTTCACGCTGGCTGCCAGCCACTCACAGTAGCTTTACCGCAGCCTCACTGCAGCCTATGCCATCACCGGCGACTCACAGCAGCCCAGCTCCAGGTCAAGCTGCTGTTCACCATCTTAGCTGTAGAGGGCATGTCACTGGCCCTCATGTGGGATCTGAACCAGGGCCCTGCTGCTCAGAGCTGGCGTCCCAAGCCAACTCTTAACCTATGCACCACTCAGCCGGCCCAAAGCAATACTTGATGTACATGCAAACCCCACAACTCTATCATCTGACAAGGAGAGGTAGTTAGGTAATATCTAGGCACACGCCCAATGGCTGGTCCCATGGCTTTCTCAGCTGTCAGACCTCAGCCTAAATGTCACCTGTTCAAAGAGGTCTTCCCTGACCACTGTGTCTAAGCAGCTCCCTCTCCACCCCCATTTAAGATCACATCATACTGTTTATTTCCTTCACTCCACTTACATGATTCTATTTATGCTAATTTGGCACTCTTCCCAACTAGAATTTAAGGCTCAGGAAAGGGAAGAGCTTTGTCTGCTCTGACCACTTCTGTATCTCTAGTACCTGGCACAGAATAGGCACTCAAATATTTTTTAACTAAATAATGGTGTTAATAAAGAATGAGCTCTTTCACCAGATGTCGCTTATTAATACCCAGCAACTAGACTGGGGTAAAAGATTGATAATTGTTGAAGCTGAGTGTTGGTGTCTGGGAATTTATTTTACTTGTCTCTTGATTTGTGTGTGCACATGCAAAAATTTCATTAATAAAAGTTAAAAACAAAGTTGTTCATCCCAAGGATTTAATAAGGCAGAGCAAACCTGAACAGCAGACCCTAATCTAATGAGCGTCCCAGGAAGGTCTCCCTCCTCGGAGGAAAGCGGAAGGCCTGCCATGGGCCACCACGGTGCTTTAGCTGAAAGCCAGTAAAACTGGACGTTCCGCCGAGGGAGAAAAGTAGTGTGTCTGGAACAGGTCTCAGCGTTTCTGATGACTGCTATGAGAGTACTGATACATTTATAGAGCACTTACTTTACCAAGGTACTTTCACTTACATTTTGTTGGGACAACAGTGTGAAGTATTATTATCCCCATGCTTATTATTTTATCTCATTCAAAGCTTAATCTAAATGCTTTGGAATCAGAAAGAAATAAGATTCAAACCCAAACGCTTGCAAACTGAGTTTCCATTTCCTCATCTGGAAAAGGAAAATGCCACCTCCCTACCTCATGGGATTATAGGGAAACATAAATAAAAGTGGGACGCCTAATACCATGGCATACAGTCAACAGTCAATGTTTTGCACTCACCCTGGACCATCAAGGGTGGTATCTTCACTTTTATATTCCTAGCATAGTACCTAGGTGCCTAATTAATCATTTACTAAATTTTAAAGACAAAACAAAAGATAAACAGACAATAAGTGGCAGAACAGGTCCTTGAATCAACACCTTCAGATCAAGCAAGTGCTTTCTATACCAGGCTGCCTCTCTGGTGGTTTGAAAATACACCTCTTTTTCATCTACTGACAGAGAAGTTTTGCATAAGCTTGGACCCAACTATAAATTCAATATAAGTAAATAAAATATTCTTTTATTTAGTTCTTCATAAGCTTCCTCCTCTTTTCTCATTTCCTCATCTAAGATCCCTGTTCTGGAAAGTGTTGTGTTCCCCCACAGGAGAAATCCATTTTTTTATATTTGTTAATTTTGTTTTAAACGAAATGTAGTTAGAAAGTTAATATAGCACTGGAACTTTAGCCTAGATACCCAGAGCTGCAAGCCACCAAGATGGGAGGCCAGCAGGGTCACACAGAGTATGTACACAAACTCCCCAGCCTCTGGTAACTGGCCAGTGCTAGCTTGCTGAGCCTCCAACACCAGGGAACAGGTCTCTGCAGCCTCCCCAAGTATTTCCCAACCATCATAACAAAAGGGTTTTGAAGCACAAGATAAAAAGATGTGATCAAAGAGGCCAAAGGTGTAGGCTGGTAAGAGAAGAAAACATGAGATGGTTTCCATGTGATAGGGGACAGGAAATGCGTGGGCAGGAGGTGCTCAGGGCTGGGCTTCCCACCACTGCAAAGAATGGCAGGGAACAGATTATGTACAGTGGTTATGGCAAATGGCTTCCGGCCCAACAAAAGAGCACAGAAAATAAAAATAAACCCACTGCGAAAGGTGTTGAGCTAGATGCAGCAGGAAATGCTAAGACATACCTCATTTTCTATTCCGTACTCCAAATCCACTCGGTCAGCGTGCTGTGAGCACCCATGTGTAAGGCCCTAGAGCGGCATCATTACAACACAGGTGTTGGGTATTAAGAAAGGTCCAGAGACAGGAAGAGGCATCTAATGAACAGATTACCTATCCTGGTTCAGTGCCTCTCATCTGCCATGTCTTTAGCTACTTCAGCTAAAAGAAAACACCTAAGAATCAGAAACTCAATTAGAGGACTTGGGTGGGGGATAATGCATTTTTTTAAGCTTGAAGGAATGGTTCCACAGCTAGTTCTTTTGTATATAGTTGAGAACCACTGAGCAAGTAAACAGAAGCCTAAATACAAATGAATCCATTGTAATGAACTTTTAACTAAATTTAAACTCAAGACTCCAAAAGCAGTCTGGAGACTTTTGCCCTATTGTAAATGGTGAAAAAAAACACTCCAAGACGAGTGTTTGCTATTGACGGATGGTAACTGGCTTGGGTAAATCACCTCTGAGGCAAAAGCTAATCCAATAAATGGGAACTTAATATCTGCCCTGTGTATCGCAGGATCATTGGGAGACATTAAAGAAAATCTGTATATTAAAGGCTCTGAAAATTATGTCTTCCTTGGTAAAATTACTATTATTCCCAGTTTTCAACCCATTCGTCTTGAAGTCCCGATGCTTTTCTATTTCAAAATACGTTTATCAATCTAGACAAAATAATCCAGAAGCCTCCTGGTAAAGCTTTATGGTATCTATATATAAAAGTTTTAAAGCAAATTAAATTGATCAATCATAATTTTAGTGAGTATCCCTGGAAATGGCAAACCATGGCTCATGGACCAACATCCTGTTTTTGTAGGTTTATTGGAACATTGCCATGCCCGTTCATTTAAGAAAAAAAGTGCCAACTCCTACTAATCCAGAGCAGTTCTCAAACTTAGTTGTGTATTAGAGTTACATGGAAAGCTAATAAACACAGAAGCCCAAGCTTTTTACCAACTTCCCAGGTTGTGAGATACACCAAAATTTAAGAGCCACTGCTCTAGATTGGTGCTTCTCAAACTTTAATATGCACATGAACTACCTAGGGACCATATTAAAATAAAGATTCGGCTTCATGGTCTGTGGTGGGGCTTGAGTCTCCTTTTCAAATAAGCTCCTACGTGATGTCAATACTGCTGGTCAAGTGGACTACAATTTGATAGCAAGAATCCAGAGCAGAGCTGCTCTCCAACTTGGCTGCACATGAGAATCACCCAGGTACCTGTGCAAAGTACAGATGCCACCCACAAAGGTTTTAATATAATTGGTCTGGGGTGTGACCTGGGCATCAAGATTTCGTTTTTAAGCTCCCCTAGCAATTCTAATGTGCAGTTGGAGAACCTCTAGAGCACCATTCATCATCTCAGCTAAATTTAACTAGTGGAATTCTCAACGTAGCATACTTATTTCCTGTATATAGTGCCCAAGATAGAAATGGGGATGCTAGCATGATACATATACATATGCCTAGGCTTCGGCCAGCAGGCCTATTGTTCTACCCAAGCTGTGTCTTCAACTCTGATCTTAAGTAAGTTACAAATCTGAGCTTCAACTTCATCATCTAACGAGGATTGGAACACAAGATAATTGCAAGAATAACGTGAGAGAATATTTGTGAAGGTGGTTCAGAGAGTACTGTACCCTATAAATAAACATATACACAAAACCCCCACTCTTTGCACTGTGCTTATATTGCCCAAGAGATACTTCACTTTTTATCACAAAAGCATATCAAAACAGCTGTAAATGTAGAAGCACACACTTAGTTCCATTTCTAACAACATGCTTCATGACACAGTTCCAGGAATGCATTGTGCCATAAGAGTGGAACCACCTGTAACAACTGAAGGATTAGTAAAGGAATACCAGCTCCTGGGAAAAGACAAAGGACCGTCTTTCCCAGGCTTGTAGCCCCTTCCCAGGCCTTTTGTCATTACCTTCATATACACTTACTGAAAACACAGAGGTAGACTCAGAGCTGCAAGTTATCAACTCCTAAAAGAGCTTTAACACAGAGGACTAAAGGACGAAAAGGATCCTGATACCAAGAATAAAAACAAAAGACAGAATCAAAGGCATAGAAAGGAGTGACATGGAGTTTAATTTAGAAGGCAAAAAGGTTACACATAATGGAGGGAGAGGTCGTGTTCACAAATGCTCATTACAAAGTTGTTCTGACACAGAAGCAAAGGGAACTTCTCTGGCTCTCCACCAGCATACCAAATCAGAGACGTTAGAAAGTACAAATCTGAAGAAAATCCATGTGTCCAACAAGCTGCCATTTCAAGAGCTCTTCTCCAGGGGAAATAAAAAAGTGAACCTAAAAGAAAGAAGTAGAAAGGTAAATGGAAATATCCAAGGTTTTTAAAAATGTCTTATAATACTACAGACAGGGCCCCAAATCCTTCCATTAAAATTCTAAACCCACAAAGACATTTACGGGGTTCCCAAATCCTGGGCCATATTTAAGCCAGGCTAGAACCAGAATAAAGCAAATACTTTTCAGAGGGATTCTTTTTAGAGGAATCCATAAACATTAATGTTTACATCTGAATTCCCAGCACACCAAGGCAAAGCTGACTAGGAACTGGTAGACGTGGGTTCTAACTCCAGCTCTGCAATTAATTAATTACATCTTTACATAAGTCCGTCTGACCTCTCTGGCCCACAAACTCTTGGTGAAGAGGATGTAATTTAGCCTCAAGAGCTTCTCTGAACCTAGAAAGCTTATAAAGCACTAAATTCCAGTTTGAGGGAGGAGGGAGGAAGGAAGGATTCAAGGGAGAAAGCAGAGAAAAATTCCCAATCTCAGATTTAACAAAGGAAATACAGAAGAAATAATTTCGTTTTCATTTAAATATAAGGTTATTTTGGGAAAGAAAGCAGAGAATAACTCCAAGAGAAGTGTCCACATTGCTGCTAGAGTCAGATGAGATTGGGATCTGGGCGTTGTGAAGTGGAGCCCTGCCTTGCAAACACAGGCTTCCTCTCTAGTGCCTTCAGGAGAGCTGTGCTCCAATAGGAGTGCAGTGAGAAAGTGACCCCTGGGCCCCAGGGCCTCCAAAGTCTCTAGCCATAAGCAGTCAATTTTCCTGCAGTGAGCCATAAAAATACCGTAATCTTCTATGGGTGTCATGACTTGAAAAGGGTTGAGAAACACCACCTTTTAGAAGAGCTAGGCGACCCCAGTCGGTAAAAGGGCGCCACCTTATTTTGTCTATTGGTTCTGACTCAGAGATTCCGGCATCAGAGCTTAAAGGAAAGATCTTAGTTAGACTTCTAGCCAGAATGCTTTTATTTTACTAACAATGGTATTTAAAGAAATGTTACATAATTGCAGAACATTCCTACATCCATGAAATTGTGAGGAATGTGTAAAGATCACAAAGTATTCATAGGGCCAAACAAGAACAAACAGAACTATTCAAACTCTCCTGTTCACTCCATCAAATTTCTTAAAGGAACAGAATGAATTAATACAACACATCAGTTCCAATAGCAGAGGTGAGAGAGCACTAGAGCATAGGGCCATTTCAGTGAAGAGCCTTGACACATTTAGAATTATAAGAGAAATCCTAGTTTAGTACAAAAGTCAAGTTTTGACATTCTATGATATTAAAAACATTGAAATCTAAGACACTGGGGCTGGTCCATCTAGAACAGTGGGTCTCAACCTTCCTATGCCGCGACCCCTTAATTCAGTTCCTCATGTTGTGGTGACCCCCAACCATAAAATTATTTTCGTTGCTACTCTATAACTGTAATTTTGCTACTGTTACGAATCGTAATGTAAATATCTGATATGCAGGATGTATTTTCATTGTTACAAATTGAACAAACATAATTAAAGCATAGTGATTAATCACAAAAACAATATGTAATTATACATTGTGAAATATTTATTTCTAATTAAAGCCGGGTACTCGTATGTGGGCATATCTGCATGTGGGCGGACCCGCCTGGAGATGGATAGAGGAGTGGTGTCTCAGTTCCTAAGACCATCGAAAATATGTTTTCTCCGATGGTCTTAGGCAACCCCTGTGAAAGAGTCGTTCAACCCCCAAAGAGGTCACGACCCACAGGTTGAGAACCGCTGATCTAGAAGGTAAAAACAACTCATAAGAGTAAATCTCTTTGATAATGATTTTCAGAAAATTCTATTTACCAAGTTCTGCTCCCTTCTATTAAGGCAAAGATATATTTACCAGACAGTATTCTAAAAGCAGAGGTTTTAGGATTCTTTGAAATGTTCGTGCAATAAAATCAGACTACTTAACAGCTCAGAAGAATGGTTTCCACTACTGCTAACCAAGGGATAAAGGTTTCAGGAAACTGACTAATAAAATTTCCTCCCAATATCAAGACATGAAAAATGGAAGACACCTGAGAAAAGTTAGCATGACTTCTTCAGTCTATTTCAATCATGAAGATAGCAGCACCATTTGATCAGTCTGTTCTAATCATCTTAAAAGAAAGCAAGGCACAACACAAAGAACTGTTAAAAATAATTATTCTCTGTTAGATACAAAAGGTAATGCCAGACAGGGTCATTTCTATTTGGAATCGGTATTCTTCTCCAGCACCATCTCTATTCAGACACCAGCACTGAGCCGATATGCTCAAATACTGATTTTCCTTCAAATCCATCTCCTCCTGGATCATGCTCACCCAATTAAGACTGAAATTAGAGAAAATGTGAATCAAAGACCATTGTGCAGAAATTCAAGGTTCAGAGCTCCATTTCAATCACTACAATTTCAGAAGGCACAGATTGTATATTTCTAAAAACGAAACGAGCTTCAGAGATCAGCTAATCAAATCCTCTCGTTTTACAGATGAGGAAACTAACCTGGGAGTTTGACAGATTTGTCCAGAGCTGTTCTGTCCAACACCATGGCCACTAGCCACAGGTGACTATTTAAACTTAGTTAAAATTAAATAAAATTAAAAACTCAGTTCCTCAGTCACTTAGCCACATTGCAAATGTTCAACCACCACATATGGCTGGTGGCTACCATACCAGGTGGTGCAGACTTAGAACAGTTCCACATTGCAGAAAGTCCTACTGGACAGTGCTGGTCCACGGTTACCCTCTCTGGATCAAGTCAGTTCTCTTGCATTTCTTCTGAGTCATATTAAAGATGACTAACTTTGCTGAAACGTTTTAGATAGCCTCACTTCATCTTTTCTTACCAACTTCTATGTTTTTCCCGTTTAAAAAAAGAGAAGCAAGTTTAATACTTTTTACAAAAGCCTTCTAACAAGATGTATATGTTCATCATCCAAAAGTCTCTGAACATAATAGAGAAGAAAAATAAAATTTGGCAGTCAAATGGTTGTTACTGAGTTCCCACAAAGTCACTTATTAGCTCTAGGGCCTAGACAAGTGAACTTAAATTTCACCACGGTTTAATCACCTGATGTGTAAAACAAGGAGAGTGCTATTTGACTACCTCCATCACAGGCTGGGCCGAGAGGATCACACGCGTTAGCGTGTGTACAGTGTGTGTGGAATGTATGTGAGTCCTGCAAGCCTGGTCATCACTGAAAGACATTTTACAAATGTTGTCTAATTTTATAAAAGGTCTTGTATAAATATTGTGTATTTTGTTACTCACACTTTAACTTTCCACCTCCTGTGAATGGATGATGGGAATCTGGTAATACGGATAAAAAACAAAATTTGAAGAAAAAAGAAAAAGAAGTCAAACTGAGGATCTACAACAAACAGCCCAATCCTCCTCAAACACAATGGGAACTATCATGAATTCTAATCAAAGGTTTTAACAGCTCCAGACTGATGCGTATCCAGACCAATGCCTCTCTTGTGCAGACAGGGAAACGAAACGGGCTGAGGGACAAGCTGAATTTGTCCGTTCCACCCACTCCACAAAAGGGCCAAGTCCACAGGGCAGGTCTTCCGACTTCCAGTTTCATGTCTATGTCTGCCCCACAGCCCCTCAGACGAATGTTTCCTTGGCTTCTTTCTCTCACAGTACTTTCCGCATGTCTTAGCATCCACATAACTATTGATATAACTTTTATATAGCATTTTCTTACCCATGAAAATGATTTATTCATCATACACTCATTCAACAAATATGCACTGTGACTGTTAGCCTATGCTAAGCCCTGAGGTCCCTACCCTCAGTGAGAGAAAAGGAAGTGAAAGAATAGTTTCATAACAATGCGGTAAGTGCAGCACTAGCGGCATGCACAGTGGACCCCGGAGAGCCCCAGAAGAGGCTCCAATGCAACCTGGGGGCAGGGATGATTGGGAGTGGGTGTCATCAAGCTGCAAGCATGGAGAAAATAAGGCAGGGAGTTAGGGCAGCAACGAACTTCATAAACACAAATCTACTTGACATTCTTTCTCGCGCGCTTGCTCTCGGCTCTCTAGCTTTACATGGACCAAATACAACATAGAGCTCAATCACCAATTAGACAGTGATCAATTAGTGGTTTTAGTAAATAAAATAAGCAGATTCAAGATTTTAAGAGTGGGTAAAGAATTAATCTCGCCCTCTGAGGAAAAAGAGGGGGGGGGGTTGAGAAAAGATTATGCTGTGCTTAGCTCAAAATATGTTCCACAAATTTAGAATAGTTTCTTCTCTGAGAACTTATTTGGTGGCTGAATCTAATTCCCTATAAGGTGAGATGTCAAAGAGAAAATGAAATAAAAAATAAACAGCCTTTCCCAAGAAAAAGAACTAAAGATTATTGCCAGTGGGATCCCGCTCATGTTGAGAGCAAATACAGGTCTAGAACAAACCAAATGGGACCTCTTGACTGACAAGATAACCAAAGGAAATAAACCCTCCCTGCACACGATCTTCCTGTGGAACAAAAGCCTTGGGCCACTTAAAGGCTCCATGCCCTATGTGCCTGACTCCACACTGCCCACTTCTGGCCAGAATGGAAAGCAACCCCCACCCAGCATCTAAGGCCCACTTGGACCTCTGCTGCCCTCCTGTGACTGGAAAAAAGCTAGGTTTTATCACAAAGCTATCTGGGTCTTCCCCCAAACTCATCTTCTCTTATGCTTTGTAGCACATTCTCTCAGCATATGAAATGTACAATCCACTAGGTGGCAGTAGAGCCTAAAGAATACTATTTAGATTCCCTTCCTGAGATAATTCTCTAGATTATACTTCACTGATAAATTTGGAAAAGCCAACAGAAATTGCATATTTGTAAATAGCACTGCTTGCCAGAGTTATGTTCTGCCCAGCCCGGTAGCGCCCTTGCTCCAGCCAGGATTAAACACTGAATTTTTATAAAGGCCTCTGAGAAAATGGCCTCCATTATAAAAACAAAAATACTAAGAAGGTTTTAACACAAGCATGAGCCAAACAATCTCCACCAGGCTGAGCACACTTCCAAGCTCAGGTTTGTCCGTTTGTGCCCATTTCAATTTACCCTCTGATCCAGGGCCCAAGTCCAGGAACTTTCCTTCCCAAACTGTAACTCAATGTAGCTATGTCCCTCTTTTCTTCATTTCCCTTCAGAACACTTGAGATAGACTGACTTTTTTAAAAAGAACTGTACAAAGAGACATGGAAAAACAAAACAGGAAATAAGTACAGAAAAGTATATACATTTTTTCTTTTTCTTTTCTTTTTTTTTTTTAGCTGAGCCATCCTGCCACCTGTTGGCAGCTCAGCAGTAGCTCAGCTCCAGCTGGGAATCAAACTGGCAACCCTGTTGCTCAGAGCTCGTACTATTGAGTGAGCTCTTACCCAACTGAGCCACTCGGCCAGCCAGAAAGTATGTACATTTTTAAATATTCAAATCTACTGAGCTTGTATCATGCATTCATTCAGAAAAGATTTACTGCCACCTAAATACCAAACATAGACCATCATTTTAGGTGTGCATGAATTCTCCCAACCCAGAAGCTTAGTAGGAGCATTTTTCACTTTTGCATTTTCATTTTTATGATAATCTAAAAAATATTGAGTCTGTTCTTGACCACCAGGATAGCCACCTTTAACCAGTGCTGCCAACTGAGCAGCTTTTAACCACCGGATTTCTCCAACTGCCATCTTCGGACATGTTTTCAGGGGAGCAAAGTCTAAAGTTTGGAAAAGGTTATATTTAACAGATCCAGGTTTTACATCCGTCCTGGTTGAACAAAACTGCTATGAAGTAGTTTAAGTCTTACAGCAGAGGGATGGAACTGGGACTGGAGAGGAATTCAAAGGGAACTTCCGCTGAATCTACAATGTTTAATCTGTTCAAAATCTGTTAATTCCAAGTGGTGGACACATGGGTGTGTTATATTATTCTCTGTACTCTTCTGTATTTTTTTAAATGTCATAATAAAAACAAAGAAAGTAATAAGGGGGAGGATAGTAATAAAATAACTGTGGTAACTTTCTAAAAACATTTCTTTAACGCTGCCAATTGTCAAATACCTTATAGTAAACAACCTCAAGCAAAAATGGGATAGAAAATTTTTTTGAAGTCAGACTGGATTATCAGACTTATTAGTTAAAAGATTTCCAGCAAGGCTCTCTGAAACTCAGTTTCTCATCTATAAATGGAATTAACAAGCCAATCTTCATGTGGTAATTTTGAAAAGATACAGAACAAGTAGCACTTGAAGCCAGGATCATGGTGAGCGCTCACTATCCGTTAACTTCCTTACTTCTGAAATAAATTTATTTTTTTAACTCAATGCCATTTTCTTTTGATCTGCCTTTTTCAGAGTAGCTGCTGGTTTTAAATGTTGCTCCCAAATTCATGCAAAAGCAGTACTTATAGATGTTTATTCTTTTTATACCCAACTCTCAATGTACTTGCCAAGTATGGAGAATCTTCAATCTGTTTTGTTCTACCTTCTGAATTGGTTTAAATATTGACAGCTCACTTGGAATCTACTTTGAAAGTGTTGTGGCACATTGCACATATAACTGAGTTAGAAGCACATAAAAAGGGCAAATAAATGTATGTTAAAAACTGAGAGCAGGACAGTAAAGTGTATGTCAAATGAAGGATCTCTATGAAAATCCCCTGGGCAGTCCCCCAGAGAGAACATACTCTCTATAAAATGATTTAACACTGCAATCTGGGATTGGAAGGTTTTGCTGTACATTGGGCCCATAATTCCCAGCTGAACGGGGGCCATAGGTTGTTACAATAGTCTGTAGCACATAGCTTCTGCTGAGCTTGCTTTTTGTCTGTTTTTGTCACAATTTTGGAATACTAATAAGCTCTCTGCAGCAGGGGTCTCCTCCAATCACAACAGCCCTAGGAAATAATTCTCCATCATTTGATATCTCCCTAAACCCAGAGAACATCCTTGAAATGTTTGCGCTGTCCCTTTCTTAAGCATGCACATGACTCATCTAGAAAAAATAACTTGAGGAATCTAGAGTAAGGCAATCAGAAGACTTCTGACCTTTCCTGCAAAGTTACTATCAGAGAGCCCAAAAGTTACTTATGTTGTTTGCAGGTGTAAGGTCAATGTTGGTGGGTCAGCTTTGTAGCTCTACTCAAGGAATCATCATTGGTCAGACACCTCGTCCGCTGCCTATTCCCAGGTAGCACATTGGCTCCCTTCTCTGGACTCCCACAGCACTTTGTTCACATGTAGTGTGGCTCTAACTACGCTGTTATTTCACTGCTGCGTTTACATGCTTTCTCCCCTACTAGAAGGTAGGAACCACATTTTACTTTAATTCCTATTTCCAGCAACAAGGCATTGACTGGCACGTAGAAAGCGGGAAAGGGGAAGGACAACTCAAGTCCTGATCAGTTATCCAAAGAGTTAAATTGTATTAGAATAATATATAAGAAGTGGTTCCCAAACTTTTTCACTGAAATAAACGATCTCTGTCAACTTACTACCACCAAAAATAAAACCTTACCTGAACAGAACTGTTTTTGAGGCAATATCAGTAATGAAAAGGCTCTATGTAATATTATAAGTAACTAATTAATTCATGCCAGAAATTAAAGTATAGTCATTGTCACATTATTGCATTCACTTTGTATATAGTTTATCTAACTCTTGTATTGGATTTCTAATCAGTACAAAAATGACAGATTTCCAAGTAGTGATAGAAAGAAGTTAATCCTGGGATAGTCTTCCCCCAAAAGGATAACATTGCTTAAGGTTCTCTTTTCTCTACCACCCAGTAACAGCCAACATTGAATTTTGTAGTGAAAAGCCAAAAAAAAAAAAGAGTGCATTCATTCATCAGCTACGTGGGGTATTGGAAGAGCACCAAACCAAGGGTACTACTGGTTTGTACGCTATTGTGCAACCACTTAGTTATGTGGCCAGGGAAGGCCACTGGATTGTACCGGCCCTCTGTTTTCTTAATATATGAAATAAGTGCTGATATATAGTTTGGAAAGCACCCATCGACCTCTCAGAGCTTTCAGATTCTGCTTGGGAGGGAGGCATACCATACATAAAGGAGAGTCCAAGCAAAGAGGGCTTTTCAACTTCTGTCAATGCAAATGATTCCAGCTCCACTGCTGCTTTATATACTGAGACTCTATATGTTTGTTTAGAAAAACCGAGCTCTACTGTTAAAAAATGAAAAATGGCAAACAAAACAAATGGCATCTCATGCTGTATTGTAAAGTGTTCGCCCAACCTAATCAAATTTCCCCATTTATTTCTACTTTAGCAAATGGCCAGTCATTCATGCAGCACATACTGGGTGTCTAACGGTGTAAGCACTTTACTAGGACTATGGGGACAATGGCCCAGCATTTAAAGTCATCTAAGATCAAAATCAGAAAAAATTACAGAGCAAATCTATAAGCAAAACCTACAATTTTTGTCTCTTTCAAGATCTCAGTTATTTTCATGGCGTTATTGGTGTAGAAATTAATATATTAGCTACAGGCAAACGCTCATTTTCTGTTATCTTAATGATTTGCAGAATAGTGAGATGAGAAGGCAATGACCGAAAGCAGCCACACTGATGAATCATGATGATATTAATGCATACTTTGCAGACCTATGGAAAATTCTGCAAACGTCTTATCAGCAATACGGGAACCTTGCCAACCATGATCAAAACCAGCCCCATCCAATTTCCATTTCTAAAATCAACATGATGGTACAAAGGCTATGATCATCACTTACATTCTTCTAGTCTCCCACTCCTCAATTAAGTAAATGGGAATGATTCAGCCAACGAAGTTCATGACCACAAGGTGCAGGATGGTGCTGGCAAAGAGAAAGTCAGCAAAGGCTCGCTCTGGGGAGATGCCTTGGAAATCCGCTTTGTTCTGTGGGTTGATCTGTATTCTCAGACAAACTGTACAAGAAGTAAAACACAAAAATGATTATCTAGAAGTATAAAACAAATATGACTGCTAATGAACACACGCATACCCTATGACCCAACAATTCCATTCTAACAGAAATGATGCATAAAAGAATCAAAAGGCATGTACAGGAATGATACCCACAACAGCCCCAAACTGGAAACAATCTAAATGTCTATCAGCAGTAAAATCAATAAATTATGGCATATGCATACAACAGAATACTAAACAGCAATGAAGGAGGTGAGGGAGGAATTAGAGGAAGGTGGTAAAAAGGTACATAGTTCCAGTTATAAGATAAATAAGTACTAGGGGTGTAATGTACAGCATGATAGCTATAGCTAACACTGCTACATGATATATAGGTAAGCTGTTAGGTGAGTAAATCCTATGAGCTGTCATCACAAGGAGAAAATTTTTTTCCTTTTTCCTTTCTTTTCTTTTTATTATATCTATATGAGAAGATGAGTGTTAGTTGAACCTATTGTGGTAATTATTTCATAATATCTGTAAATCAAACCATCATGATATAAGCCTTAAACTTACACGGTTATGTATGTCAACTATTTCCCAATAAAACTGGGTGGGGCGGAGGGGAATCATCCAACCAAAAAAAAAGGAACTTCACAACATGGATGAATTCCACAAATATATGTTGAGCAACACAATCCAGGCACACAAAAATACATGCTGTATGATTCCATTTATATAAAGTTTAAAATGAGGCAAAACCAATCTATGACAATCAACTCAGGATAGTGGTTATCTTTCACAGGAGGAGGGATGACTGGTAAGATGCAAGGTGTAAGCCTCTAGGGCAGCGGTTCCCAACCTGTGGGTCGCGACCCCTTTGGGGGTCGAACGACCCTTTCACAGGGGTCGCCTAAGACCATCGGAAAACAAAAAGATATTTACATTACGAT